CCCCCCCGTGCTCTGCCCGTTCCCGGCAGCGCTCTTGCGGCTGGAGGTGCCGAGGGACAACCCCCCCTGGGCATGGGGAAACCAGCTGGGCTGGGGCTGACCATCTCCCACGTGAGCCAGCCGTTCCTGAAACACATTGCTTGTGTCAGGGAAAAAGCAAACACATTTAATAAATAAATCAATGCACTTACTTACTTAATTATGAGGCCAAAGCTGGAGGAGCTATAAGACACTGGTAAATAAAGAGGTTCTGGTTGTTCCCCTGCCTTGTGTTGTCCTCATCCCCCCCCCCGCCTTGCCTCCTACCAGGATTTATTAAACAAGCTTCTGTCTCTACCAGTTATTTAAGATTACTTACTTACTTAAAATAATCCGCTGTGTACGTTACCAGCATCCACAGCCCAAAGGCCACTTTATCACTGCAAGGCTGGGCTGAGAGGAGCCACGGGCAGCAAAACCACCAGGAGCTCAGGACAGGGCAAAATCCAGCAGCGTTCCTGGCCTGCGGGATCCCACCGAGCTGCTGGGGTAGGGGCGGCTCAGGAAAGGGGCACCACTGGGGAGGGAAAGGAAAGGTTGAGGGGTTGAGTTTTTTTGTTTTGATTTGTTTTCAAATGGTGCAGCTTATCGTAGAATGGTTTGGGTTGGAAGGGACCTTTAAAGGCCATCTGGTCCAATCCCTGCGATGAGCAGGGGCATCTTCAACTAGATCAGGATGCTCAGAGCCCCATCCAACCTGGCCTTGAACGCTTGCAGGGATGGGGCATCCACCACCTCTCTGGGCAACCTCTGCCAGTGTTTCACCACCTTCATCATGAGAAAAGTTTCTTCCTTGTTTCTAGCTGGAATCTACCTTCTTTTAGTTTAAAACCATCACCCCTTGTCCTAGCACAACAGGACCTACTCAAAAGTCTGTCCCCATCTTAAAATCACTAAAAGGCCACAATAAGGTGTCCCCAGAGCCTTCTCCAGGTTGATCAACCCGACTCTCTCAGCCTGTCCTCACCTTAAAATCACTAAAAGGCCACAATAAGGTGTCCCCAGAGCCTTCTCCAGGTTGATCAACCCGACTCTCTCAGCCCGTCCTCACGGGAGACATGCTCCAGCCCTTGGATCATTTCCACGGTGCCCTCCGGCCCCACTCCCACAGGTCCACATCTTTCTCGAAGTGAGGATTCCCAGCTTCTGTGGGGCCTAATCCTGCTGCACACACCAAACTGCAGAGCCTCATCCCCCACAGCACCCACCCAATTCCCCGCTCCAGACCACGCATGGACCCCAGCACCAGCCCTGTGTCCTGGCGGGGAGCGACGCTGGTGCAGACCCGAAGCCCTTACAGCCCACGGGTGAGCAGCCACCCAACCATCACCGCAGGGATTGATTTGCCCCGTGGAGGAAAGCCACGTCCAGGTGCCATTCGCTGCCCCAGAGGCCTGCTTTGCCAGGCACCCACAAAATTAATTGCAGTTTCCAAGAACAAAAGCCAGTATCAGTGAAATGTGGGGTTGATGGTGGTTTTTTGGGGGGGGTCCTCACCTTTTCTGCTGGAGCAATCGAAGCTTTTGCAAGCTTAATTTCCTCCACCTGCTATTGCTTCATGCCTGAGCAAACAGCCAGCAGCTGAACAAGCACATTGGGGCTCGGGACATCCAGCTTTGTGGGCGGCTGTATATAAGGGACGGAGCTGAGCCGCATCCCATCAGAGCAGGAGCCTCCTCTCAGCCAGCCAGGCAATGCTGGCCTCCCTCACCCTCCTCCTGGGGCTGCCGCTCGCCCTCGCCACCGAGCTCTCCTGCGATACCCGGCTCGTCACGGTCACATTCGACAATGCCACCATCCCTGGGGTAAGCCCTGCCCTCAGCCTTTCCTATCAGCATCGCAAGCGGTTAAGGTCCAGGAAGAGGTTATGAACCCAGTCAGCAGCTCGACTCTTATCTCACTGCCTGTCCATGCTTATTTTCCTAAAAAAAAAAAAAAAAAAAAAAAATCAAGACTGCTGCACAGGAGCATGGGGACAGGGTGAAGCCTTGCAGCTCTGCCCCCATAAACTCATGAGCAGGTGCTTTTGGGGAAGCTCCTGCTTCCACCTCCCCATGCAAGCCAGGCTGGGCAGCCCCGTTTCCAGTGCTTCACTGCTCTATTCTAAGTCCCTCAAGTGACGGGGACTCAGATCATGAGTCTCCGTCTGCAAAACCCTTCACTGCATAAACATTATTTAGTCCCTTGGGGGTGTTTAAGGGGAGGGAAGTGATGAAAGCCAGGCACAGAGCAGGAGGGACACAACCGTAGAAACAAGAGGGGACAAAACCAAGAGCCCCTCAGCCAGCCGGGATCCTGCACAGGGCGGTCACCTACCAGGGTGCTGGTGGCCACAGGATGGCAGGGCACAGCATCTGGTGCCCCCAGCACAGACCCCAACCCTTCCCTGCTTCCCTCCTCTCCATAGCTCCTGGGACATTGGGTCTACATTGGCGGCGCCTCCACGTACCCGCCTCACCAGGAAGAGCTGAAGGCAGTGAAACACGCGACGTTTTCCTTGTTTCCCAGCAGCCACGAGGACGAGCTCAACGTCACTGAAATCATGAAAGTGTAAGGACAGGGATTCACTCCCTCACCGAGCTCCACCATCCCCAGGGGCATTTCCACCTGCTGGTACCACCCTCCAGGCTGAGACACCCCCATAAATTTGGGGCTGGAAAGCAGCTACACTAAATTTACTTAAGCTCTGCAGCCCAGCTTGAGTTCTGAATTCCCTTGGGTTTGGCTGGGGGTGGAATTTGCCCCATCTGACCTCTCTGCCCCACAGGAACGAGACGTGTGTGGTGAAGACCACCGGCAAGATCCAGGTCTTTCATCACAACTCCACCCTGGCACATGGTAAAGCCCCGGCCACAGTGTGGGTTGGAATGGTGGGGGGACAGACACGGCCGCTACATCTTGCACCCTCCTGTTTCTGCCCCCAGTATTTGGCATTCTGAGCCCCCAGCACCCAGCCCTTTTACACTGAAAAACGTGTCTGGAGGTGGGCAGAAAAAATTTCCCGCACCCCATGCAATGGGTCCAGCAGCACTGTGGGACACAACCAGGCCCCACCGGGACAAAGCTCCCAGGGTAGAGGGGATGAGCAGCCCCTGCCCCGCTGCCCGGGCTGAGCCCTGGCACGGGGCGACACTTGCCGACAGGCGACCCCACTCTCCCTCTGCCTTCCAGTTGATGACCAGGGGACTTCCACAGCCCAGCTGATCCAAAGCGACAAGGACCTGCTAATCATGAAGCACATCAAGGATGACTTCAGGAGCCTGAGCCTCTCTGGTGAGTGGATGCTGCCCTGGATCCATGGGGCATGTCCCTGCCCAGGGACACATCAATGGGCTTACCCAGCCCCCAATACAGAGAAGGGAAAGATGGGGGTGGGCAGGCAGCAATCTCCCATCCACAACATGGGAACCACCAAGGAGCAAAGCAACCCCTAAAACTCCCTTTTTTTTTTTTTTTTTTTTGTCCCCCTTCTCCCTTTACCACCCTGTTTCTCTGGCAGCACGAACGCCCAACGTGAGCAAGGAGCACCTGGAGGAGTTTGAAGCCCAGCTGCACTGCCTGGGCTTCACCGCTGAGGAGATGTTCTTCACCTCCGAACAGGTCCGAACCCTTCCCCAGGGGGCCAAGCCCCAGCCAGCTCCTGCCACTGGCTGGGATGGGGGTCCTGGGGAGGGATGTAAGATCGGTTCCGCCCCTGAAGCCCCTCTCCTCCCTGGTCATTCCCTGCTCTTGGGGTGATCTTGCAGCAAGGGGGCACTGACGGATGCTCTCCCCCTCCCGCAGGAATCCTGTCCCCTGCCTGGGGAGAAGACAGGCGAAGGTGACATGGAGCAGCAGCTGGCGTAACCTCTGTGGGCTGGGCTGGATGCTCCATCCTCATCCTCCTCCAGCCCCTTCATGGGGACGTCCTTGCCTGCCAGCCCCGGCCAGGCTCAGCTCAGTCTCAGGACTTTCTATCAAGGTTTTGTTTTGGTTTTTTTTATCCTGGATTAAATGTGCAGTTTCCCTGTTCTCACCCAGACCCAAAATAAACCCATGTTACAACCACCCGCTCCATCTCTGCCAGGAGCATGGGCAAGGCCCCCTGCTGCCTGCGGTGCTGTGTCTCTGAACCTGCTGAGAGACATGGAAAGTCCTGGATGAAACCCCACCAGGGCTGAGCGTGGCAGTGAGCATGGAGATGATCGTCCCTCCAGCCTGCTCCATTGCAGCACGGGACCCTCCTGGCCACCTCACCCAGCAGGCCCCCTCCAGCCATGGGGTGTTGGGATGCCAGCACCCTCCCATCATCCCTGACCCCATGGGGACACACGTAAACCTGCCAACCCCTTTGGGTTTCCTCCACCGTGACTCAAACCAACCAAGGCAGCTTTAGCACCCAAACACGTGAGTTTTCACCCACCCTGAGTTTTCAAACCAAATCCCACAAGGATGCGCCTGCGCTTGAGGGCTTGAACAGGGGTCACAGCAGGTTGGGGTGACATTGCACTTTCCCTGGGTGTCACTGAGCAGGGGAAGGGGGAGAGGACAGGAGAAACCATCACCCAGGACCAGACCAAAGTACTTGGGGATGCTCTGCTACTGGAGTGGGAAAGGCAACAGAAATAAAGCCAGAAAAACAGACACCCGGTGGCACGGGAGTGGGACAGGGGGGTTGGGGGAGCCACTGCAGGGGATACGTCCAGCAGGACCAGGGTGACCTCCTGGGGCCCTTTCAGCCCCATTTTTATAACCTGTTTTGGCAAGGAGGGGGAAAACGCCTTCCTGCCCTGGAAGAAGTTTGCTCTTTGCAGCCCCCCGGGCTTCATCCAAGGTGGAGGGCAGCTGCACCCCAGGCAGCACCAGGGGGGTGGGGGCTGCATGGTGCCTCATTTGCAGAGTGAGAGAGAACAACCATGGCTGCTCATTGGTAACAAAACAGGCAAATTTAGGGCAAATTTTCATTTTAAATGCAGCAAGCGCATCGCCCCCATCATCTCCAGCCACGTTCACAGCCCACAGCTATATGCTCACTGCCAGTGGCCACAGCCAAGGCCAGGGCAAGCAGCAAGCTCAGTACCAGGCATGCAGCTCTACTCTGGGCAACGTCCCCAAAAAGCGCTGGTTGCGTCACCACCACAGAGCCGGCAGCCCCTGGCACAGAACATCCACCCCCGCAGGGCTGCAAAAGCAAACAGCCAAGCGAGCGCGTCCGTCTGTCCAGGACTTTGCTCTCAGGCAGCCATGGCTGCGGCTGGGGTTGCTGCCGTCCTCAGCCTCGTAGTGCTGCTGCCCGCGACCGCCTTCCCCTGCGGAGCCCTTCACCCACAGCACCCGGACAACACCACGGCATCAAAGGTAGGAGAGAACAGAGCCCCGGGGGGCTGCCCCACTCCTGCAATGAATTTGTGGGTGCTCTGCTAAGCCTTGCTGTCCCCTGGGAAAGGAGGAAACCCTCCCTTGCCCCCCGGCACAGCTGCCGAGGCGCCCTCAGCAAAACATCTGCAACAAATGGGAAACGTTTGCTTTCCAAAACACCTCGAATTACCTGTTTTTCTCATGGTTCCCCAGCAAGCCCCAAAGGCAACCTACAAAACAAGGGAGGCTGGCTGGGTGGTTTTTGGTGCAATCCCCTGCAGCAGCGCAGGGCTGTCCTGGCCCTGCCGCACCACGCATGGGGCACCAGAGCCCACACCAGCACTGTCTCCCAATCCCCACGTTCATCTATTTTTTTTACCCCCTGTGCATTTGCACAGGTTTCCTTTTATTGCTGCCAACGTGGTGCAAGAGGAAGAACTAGCAGAGGCCCGAGGTCAATAATAAGCATTTTGCCACAGAGAGCGGGGAAATCTCTTCCCCAAAGCTCCCCCTGAAAACCCAAAAGCTCTCACCACCCTGCCCCTTTCTCCCTGCAGCTGCTGGGAACGTGGCTCTACGTGGCCGGGGCCGCCCAGTTCCCCCAGCACCTCCTGGAGATGCTGCTCATTGACCATGGCCACCTCCACGTGGAGCCCCGCAGCAGCGAGCAGGAACTGCTCATCAGCCAGCACGTGGCCGTGTAAGATCCAACCCTCAGGTCTCTGCCCTGACCCATCTCCTCCCACACTGCAGCCGTTTCAACAAGAGATACGAGCCTGGGTTCAGAATGGTTTTCCCAAGGGGAGAGTCTCTCCTGGCTTCTCTGTGCATGCTCTCCCATCCCCTCTCTTCCTCACCCCTTCTTTTATTTATTAATTTCAACAGCCCCCAGGTTTAGGCAAATTTTGCAGGGTTTAGAGGTCTGGCAGGCACCAACCCCTGCAGGTGTGGAGGATGCAGGATACAGGCAAGGAGACCTTTCCCAAGGTCCCTGCACCACAGCTGCTAACCCTGCCAGGCACCAAAACCTGTTTCCCCCCCATTCAGGGTCAGACTTTAAGGAGATGAATTTTTCCAGACCAACACAGGCAGCTTTTTGCAATTTCAGTTATTTTTTGGGGTGGAAAACATCTCAGCACCCAGGAGCCCTTGAGCTGGGCAGGGCACAGCTGAGACCAGGAGCTGCAGGTGGAGGTCAGACAAATGCATAGGAGAAATGGCTTAACTTTAACAGTGGGAGCAGTTAACCCTGCAGAGGAGCTGGCACAGCTGGGTTTCCATCCCACAGCTAGGGGCACATGCCTCCAGTGGGGCTGGGGACAGGTCTGGGGCTTCGCTGGTCCTTTCCAGGCCTTGGTGGGGGGTCTTTGCTCTCCTTCCCCACCTCACTCCCTTCCCCTCTCTCTCCAGGGGGGACGAATGTCTCACCAACAACTCCACCTACTTTGACATCACCACCAGTAACACCACGCAGGTGAAGCATGGTAAGCAGCACCGGCAGGCGCAGCCTTGGGGGTTATCACCCAGTCTTTTTTGGAAGGGCTGAGACACGCAAAGGGCTTATGTCAATGTTTTACATCATCTGACATTTTATTCCCGGGTTGCTTTGTCCGTTTGAAGCCCCGGTGGACTCCAAATGGCTCCCCGGGGCAAGGGGCACCCAGGGTCTAAACCCCACGAAGCAATGCCGTGCCAGGAGCAAGGAGCAAACCCGCTCATATTGCAAGGAAGGAGACCGCCTCATTTGTAAAGTTATTTCGCAATCCCTGTGGGAGAGGAGGAGAACATTTATGGCAGGTTTCAGCTCTGAAATAGTTTCCTCCTCGCTGAGGAAAGGGGGTGAGCCATTTGCGGTGGGAATTGCAAACCCCCGCAGCCGCGGTTTGCACTGCGATCCACATTCCTGCAGCTCCCCCTGCTCACGCCCCGAGCACCAGCGAGCCCACCCCACCCCACACACCACAACACTAGGACGGGAGCTGGGTGGCTTTGGCTCCTTCATGCCCCAGGCCCACGTTTAAGAAATTTAATCCAAATAAACCAAGAGCCAAACAACTCGCCCCACATCAGGACATTTGTCCTCACCCACTGCCAAGGGCTGGATCCTGGGGGCTACGGGCATTGCCTGCACCCAGGCTGCGGTTTATCACTGATGCAGCACTGAAAACCTGAATATTGTGGCTGTTCCCAACCTCAACTCTGTTCTCTCAAAGCCAAGACCCATCAAACCGTGGGGACGCTGATGAACCTCAGCTCTGAAGACGTTTTACTCATCCAGTACCAACTGCAGAGGGAAAGGACGTATTTGGGACTGTATCTCTATGGTATGCAAACTCCATCCTAAAGTAACTTAGAGCTATCGTGGGACACCAAAACACGCACATAAAATTATCGGCTACATCCACGCAGCAACCTGGTTTCACCAACAGTCAGTGATTTTCCCAAGATCGACGCTCCAGGGGTCACAAGAGTATTTACAAATCCCATTAAAACCTAAATCTCTTGGCAGAGCGGAAAGACCAAGTTAAAGACAAAACCCACTTACGCCATAAATGTTCAAAGAACAGGAAATAAACACAACTCAGCATCGATATCATCGTATAATCTCAGTATTTTCAAGCCAACCATGATTTTTCGGTACTTACCTCCCAGGGCAGAGCACGTGGCTTTGCAGCACGGGCAGAGGCAAAGCCGATCAGATCTACCCACAACCCCATAAAGCAGCATTTTAGACCTTGATAAGGCTTCCCCCATTGCCCTGCCAAGCTGCAAAGCAGTTGCTTAAGAGAGTTTGAAGACACATATGAAGACATACTCAGCCTTGGTCCCTCCTGATGCCCCAGGAGTGTCAGACCATCCTGCAATCCGTTAAAGCAGACAGGACCAGAGCTCTCTGGGGAGAGGCTTAAAAAAAGTGATACCCAAGGTTGGTTTTGTTCAGGTGTATTCACCACGGGGGCTGAAAGACCCCAGCAGCGATCGCCTCCGCAGCAAGCGTTGGTGGGAGCACAGGGATGGGAGGCAGCAAGGGCAGGGACGCAGCATGAAGGGCTGTGCCAAGGCCACCGGTCAGTATTTAACGCCTGGCAAATGCTTCTCCTTTTGCAGCCCGAAACCTGAGAGTGAGCACAGCCCACCGGGAAGAGTTTGAGCACCAGGCCAAGTGCCTGGGGCTGAGCGAAGAAGAGATCGTGTACGCACCGTGGAAAACGGTATGTGGCTGCTCATGGGTGGGCGAGGGTCAGCAGAGCCACCGCAGCCCCCCACCCCAGGCAGGGGTGCCAAGACCCCGGGCTGTAGCTCCAGCTGCCAAACTGGGGTCTTGCAGAGAGATTTTCAAGGTGGTGGAAATGATTTAGGGGACTAAGTAAAGGCAGGCTTGCTTTGACAGCGACAGTGGTTTAAAATAACACACACACCCCTGCTGATATGTGACTCCCCAAAGCAAATACCTGCACCTGAGCATCTCCAGTGGGAAACCCAGTAACTGTCTGCCTCCCCCTGCTAGG